TCCTGAATTTCATGCAATCACATACAAACTTTGGTGATACATAATTCAATTCTTGGTTGATAGTCCTAATATGGTTATTTACTTTGTCAATTTGATTGTTGATAAAGGAATCCTCGAAACATCCCCAGTCCGGGTCACCTTTACTTTTGTTCCAAATAGAAGGAAACACTGGGGGTGTTTCGAGGAACCCTATATCAAAACTGTTCTGGTTGTTTATGTCAACAAGCTTCCTAAAACTTGGCTCCAGGTAATTTAAAAACTCATCGCCAGATTCAAAGGCAGGTCTGACATAACGCTGTGGCCGCTGTAAATTAGTAACATCACATGTTGAGTGCCAAAAAAGGACAACTGAATTATTCCCAAGTAAGGGACAGCCATGAGAAATTTTCTCTTCTAAAAATGAAACCCCCTCTGACGATTTCCTTCCCCCCCGTGACCAAAATACAACAGATGAAGTGTCAGCATATTGTGAAATGTTTTCAACTTGATTTTTTAAGTAATTTCCCTTACTATCGGACAAAATAATTATTTTATCATATGTTGGTTCAAGTTTCTCATCATTTTTTATTTTGTGTAAAAAAGATTTAATTTGTCTTATTTGAGATGTGTCATTCATTGTGGCGGAATTCTGAAATATGTCCTAACAAAAGTAGAAATGAAAGAATAGAAAAACAATGTATCAAAAGAGAGAGACCGAAGTATAAATCAGGAGAGTAAGAAAGTGTTGAACAGAACACCTATGTGTGTACGTGTACTTTGTTACTGAAAGATAAATTATGGGAGAAATTAAGAAATATAAACAAAATAATTTATATTGGTCAGGGTGGCATTAATGTAAATTATATAAAAATGTATCAGAAATCAGCGTATTTTCTTATACGCAAGTGTTTTTCAGTAAGCATTTACCAATTAATAATGAATTTGTGCTGTAATTCAATAAGTAATTATGCAGATAATAGTTAACAACAAACCACGAAAGTTACTATCTAATATAGTAAATGCTTACTAATGAACACAAACCAATAAAGTGTTTAACATTATCTTTATAAAAACCCGATATGATTGAAAGTAAATGTGGTATGATTTAAGAGACAAGAATTCTAGTTTAAAACACTAAAAATTACTGACGATAAAAATATACAAGAATGTAGAGGTATTTTAGGGCACGAACTGTGACTTCAAAGGGACTCCACTGAGGTTTTTTGACATGATGAGACTGAAAATATTTTTTTTCCACATAAATGTACCTTTTGATGTAGGTTTAGATCACTAATCTTTGTGCAAAATTTCAGATCATTTGCGCACTTTGTTTTTCCACTATAATTTTTCAAATTGAAAAAAATGACCCAGATTGAAAAGTGTTGAAACACTTATCACTGAAATCGGGCTAAGCTAAGCATAAAAATACGATTTTCAATTCATTTCAAAGTATATTTCTTAACTATCTTTGCATATATTTCTGTTTAAAGTGCCCCAGGTAATTTATGTAAGAAATTCAAATGCTATGTTCTTAGGCTCTTAAACCTCAGTGGAGTCCCTTTAATATCGGCAAACATTGTTTCAGCGAACTACAGGTCATAGGTAATAATATTTCATACTCAATGATATATTGATACATATTGATGTTTAAAGCACATATTTATTGACTTAAAATATATTTTACACATTTTTGTATTATATAAAGAATATTTAATGAGTATATTTTCAATACTAAATTCAAAGTTGTGGCGAGCATAATAAATATCTATTCAGTGAGATCCATTAATTTAATATTGAATGTACACAAATATAACCGAATATAATTTTCTTTTTGTTATATATCCAAAACAGTATTGACTTAAAAATAGCCCGCCTTTAGTGTAACGCTGCCTACATGCTATGTTTTTATATATTATTAGTTATAAATATTGTTGACAGGTTCTCTGACCGTATATAAACGGCTGTTTGCAATATAACCCGAGCCTAGCGGCTCGGGTCATACTTACAAATAGCCGTTTATAGGGCCATATAACTTGTCAAAAATATTTCTCACTAATAATATAAACGTCACTATTATCCAATGATATTTTACGTTACAAACGTGCAGTATTATAAAACGCAAATGACGTCAAGTGGTATTTTTATTACAATAGTGTAATATAGTTTTTATTTAATTGCTTAATTACACTCGTGTTCCGTGGTATATGTGATAAGCCAATTTATAATATTATATATCCATTCAAGCGAGAAAGTGGACAATGCAAACAATATTTGTTAACAGAACAATATATATATAGGTTAGGTAGTCTGTATCAATAAATCATTGAATATAGAATCTGATTACCTAAACATTGGTGTACCAATTAATTTATGTATACAAGTATGTCCTTTAATGTAATAAAGTATATTTAATGGACGATTATGTTTGGAATATATTACTGATTTTTAGATATCCTTAATACCAGTGTCAAAAAGAAGTGCGGTACGGACAGTCCACACGCGCAACAACTGACTGACAAGTAATAAAAAAATCAAGGCTATGAACAAAAGGGACAAAGGAAGTTTACATCGTCTTCATTGTAAAATTCCCATTGTTCCGGTGTGTTTATTCCTACACAGCTTCCATGCACCCAGTCATCACATGAATCGCATTGTATCCAATTACTTGAGTCGTCATATTTGCCGGAACATATAGGACATGTATTTGAAGTGTCCTCAGTAGTTTTAGTTTTCTTATAATTTCGTTTAGTAGCCATTCGTGCCGGTCTTTTTTGTTTTTGTACTTTGCCTTTTTTAAGTTCATCTGACTTGGATATTGAATCATGGGTGGTGTTATTGATTTTTTGGAGAGTTTGGTCATCATTTGTGGGTTCATTTGTAATATCAAAAACGGAAGGAGTTAAAATAGTGTCGCAATTTTGTATTGCAGTGACTAGATGATCATTCATGTATTTTTTAGTATGGTTGCTTAATGTAGGAATTTCATAACCTGCGCATAATAATTGTAATTGTTTCTTGGTATAAAACTTATTATTGAAACACTCGGGGTCCCGATAACACGGCAGCTTTGAGTTTTAAATGGGAAACAACCTTTCCTGCAGACTTATCATTTATGATGTCATCTATAGACAAAAGCGTTAGTTTTTTACCTTCTTTTTTCTCCATTACTTTTTCCGGTGGGCTTTTGATTTTTCGATTGTTTGGCTTCTTAAGAAATCTTTTCGAAAATGTGAAGCAGATACATAGATAAATTTTGATATCACTTCATTAAATAATTCCAAAACCAATTCATCAAAAGTGGAGTTGAAAAGTTTAAACCACTGTTCTAATATGTTGCTATCTGCTAATATTTCGCTTTTTACCATTTCTATCGTATTTTTCCCATGTTTGTATAAATTTTGATAAGTTTCAAGTAATCTTAGTTTATGGTTTAACTCTGAAAAGAATACAAATGCTGAGTCAGTTATATTTGTTAACCCTTGTCTTATGTTTTGTTTTCTGGCTGTAGTTTCTAGACTTTGAGGAAATGATGAGTCATTTAATAAATCATAATATGAAGTAATAATTTGATTTAAAAGATCTACTTTTTCCCGAGCAGTTTGAAGTTCTAACGTCTTAGAAAAGTCATATAATGAATTTTGGACTTTCTTTTTATATTTATATTTAATCTTTGCGATGGAATATCCTCCAATATATCGTAAATTCCCTTTTCCTTTTTCATATTTTTCTGTCGGAATAATTCTTTCTGCAATTTCTGAATGAGAAACAGTTTCAGAGAAATTTTCTAATATAGCTTTTTGAATATGAAATGCTGTTGATGTAAATAATGCTAAACCTATTGCCGGATGATAGTTTTCAGTCTTAGATATAACTTTTTGGCAGGAATTGAAGTATTCATCACTTTGTAAATAGCAATTAACCTTTGTACAAAATTGTCGAGCGTGTTTTTGTTGAAATTCTTCATTTTCGTTAAATGAATCGTTGAGAATTTTGTTTAAGTGCAAAAAGAATTTGGAAACCCAACATGAAAAGTCATTTTTTTTATTTTTAATATAGTCTATAGTTTGTGAAACTTGGTCTTGTAGCGGAGTGTTTGAATAATTTTGATTTATTTCATCCAGAATTTTATCAATAGAGATATAATCAGGTATTGGAGAAGCTGATTGCATTATACCTGTAGTATTATAATTGCCTGCTGAAGTATTACATAATTCATTATTTTCTGTTTCAATTTCAGATATGAGTTGAAGAAAATGATCATCATACTCAAAATTTACATCATCATCATCATTTATTTTATCATGATCATGATCATCATTATAATAATGATCATCATTTTCATTATTGAAATTATCCCAATCGATTGGAATGAATAGTTCAGATAATGTTTCTGAAGGAATAAACTCGCTTTTACAGCAGGTGTTGGAAGGTAAAAACAGTTGGGAGTTTGACTCATAAAAACTATATACATGAGGCGGGTGCTTTTTCACTAAATGAGGCCTAAAATTTTTTACCTGCAAATTGTTGGCTGTAAGTGCACGACCAACAGCAACACCAAGTTGACCAGGCACATTGGCATCTTCACAGTCAACAACAACTGATTCAAGTGACATGCCCTGTGATTTATGCATAGTTATTCCAAAAGCAAGAACTAATGGCAACTGTAATCTTTTAGCTAAAGTTTTGCGTGATACTGGGTCCACTTTTGAAAATGCATGGTATGTCACAGTCACTGTTAGGTTACTTTTTTCAAAATGTACTACAACTTCGTTGTCTAATAACTCTTTCAACGTGCCTGTTGAACCATTAACAAGTGTTTCGCTTAAATTGACAACAAGCATCACAGGGCATCCCACTTTGAAGCCTAACCGTTTAGGTGCTTGAAACTTTTGTAAATAAAATGTGTCTCCCTCATCCTTTGCAGTATAAATTTTCAAATTGCCTGGGAAATTGTTAATTTTATCATGATTGAATAAATTTGCTTTGTATCGTGTAGAAAAAAGGTACAATGTGTTTTCCTGAATAGAGATATCTCTTTCTAAAGTTTTGATGTACTGAATTGTTCTTGTACTTAAATTTCCCTTTTCTAGGTTGTTTACACATTCAATTAAATTAATGTCGTTATGTCTAAATATGGTCTTCAGATTGATATGGTGTGGAAAGACATACTTGAAATAATCGGACTGAAAACAATGTTTGCCAGTTTCCCCATACAATTCATCTGGGACTGGTGGAAGCTGAAAAAAGTCACCGGAAAAGATAACTTGCATGCCCCCAAAATACCTCTCATTTTGTCTTACTGACCGACATATTGATTCAACAGCCTCAAATATTCTTTGGCTTATCATAGAGCACTCATCTACTATAAGGATTTGGCAAGATATTATACGCTGCCTTGACTCAGCATATCGTTCGTCAGTACAAATTAGCTTCACTAGTTCACTAGTTTGCATACCACCATCTCCTAAACCACACCACCTATGGAGTGTCTGTGCATTACGGTAATGTGTTGCAGCGATACCAGTACTGCATGTGACATAAATACTTTTACCCTTTTTTAACATGTTTTCATAAAACTGAGAAATAATGTAGGATTTTCCAGTTCCACCCTGACCAGTTAAAACAATATTATGCCCGCTACATGCGGAATCATAAAACAGTTGCTGTTCAGTACTCAACATAATTGAAGCAAAAATGATATTTAAACACTAAATGTAAAAAAAATTACGAAAACAGAAATAAAATTGATATTTAGAGTTTACTGTTTACCTTTTTTTCGCTCGCGAAAATATAGGTCATGTGCACGTGGGTGAGACGACAACAACGTACCTTTTCATTCATTAAAGTTTTATATGAAATTGCTTTTTCCCAGCGGTTTTCCGCTTTAAGAGACGGGAAACATTCCAGTCGTCATGAATTCGTAAAGAAGCATGTGACACCGTTAGGAAAATGTAATTAAATGTGCAAAGCTTAGAAGTAAGGTACGATCGGATAATAACATGGATTTATTTATGAAAAGAATGTATGCATCGACTTATTTACACTAGAAAGAAATGGTATGCGATAACATGAATACTTGAAATTCATGTAGGTCAGTTGTGTTTACATTTCGAAGCTTGGTATCTTCAGGAAATTAAAGCGTTGGTAAAAAATTGACTTTTTTAAAACGTTATGAAATTCGGTTGAAACTTGTTCACGTGTTAGACACTTAACCGTGTCATACTAATATAAGCAAAAATTTAAAACTTATTCTTGTAATAGATAATACTTTTACTTTTTTATATTCAGGGGCGGAGAAGGGCGGGGTCTATACTCCAAGTGTCTGTGTGTGCGGCGGCGTAATAAGGGCACGGTTATGGGTAGTGCCGTGATAATCACACACACGACTTTATGGGCACGGTTATGGGTAGTGCCGTAATAATCACAGACACGACTTTATAATTAATCAGTTTTATCCGAATGATAAATGATGATTATTTTATTCTAAAACCAGTTCTGCGTTTAATGGTAATTTTTTTTTAGAATTCTACTATTTGTATACCACGCTTCGTTATAATCACACGGTTGGTAGTAGTGCCGTGATAATCACACGTACGGTCTTGTGTACACTCCAAATAACACGAAATGATTTTAAATTATATAGAGCTATACCATTTTATTCCAAAATAATTTCCGCATCTAATGGTATAACTTTTGTAATGTATTAAAAAAGCTCATTTTACTGGAATTTTCATATGAGTCGTCATTTTCATATGAATACATATAATTGTGTTTTATTTTTCTGGTATATAGTTTTTAAATAAAAAAACTTAAAAAGCCACCAGACGTTCAAAAATATTTGATTTAGTGCAGTTTGATAAAGTGATCAAGATAATATTCTAAATCAAAGCACTGCAAGCACTGAGGTATACATTTGCTTGACATTACGGCATCCAGGCTTGCATAAGGATTTTTCATAAAATCATCATAAATTACTGTTCAGGAACAATAGATATTTTATTAAATAACAAGAATTTGTAACAGAAGTACCAGGGCCCCCGCCTCGGGTAAGTTTTATATGAAGCATAAAATTATGCTGTTTCAAAAGATTGAGGTATGGATCTTAGGACGTTCAGTCCAAAATTATGGTTAATGCTAGATCTGCAAATGCAACAATAAATTTTAAAGAAATAAAATGAATGTTAAGCTCTGACCTTGAAGGTAGGTGACCAATTGTTGCGCATGACACATTGTCTCATTATTGTGAACAATTATGGCAAGTATTTACAAAATCCCTCCAAAGATAAGTAAGTTATGGACCAGACACGAAATATACCCTGTAACAGACTATGTTAATCTTTGACCTCCAAGTGTGACCTTGACCTTCGAGGTAGGTGACCGGTTGTTACTCAGGACACATCTTCTCATTATTGTGAATAATTGTGGCAAATATTTACAAAATCCCTTCAAAGATAAAAAAGTTATGGACAGGACCTTGACCCTGGAGGTAGGGGTCTGGTTGTTGCGCATGACACATTGTCTTTTGATAACAAACATTTGTGCCAAGTTATTTCAGATTCATTTAATAAATGACAAAGTTATGGACCTCACATGAAAGTGTGACAGACAGACGGACAGACAGACGGATGGAGCCTATTTCTATATCCCCCTTTTTTCTTCGAAAAAGGCAGGGGACAAAAATTATGTATCAATGTAATCATTTTCACGGGATGTAACAATCCACCAGGGTTTTTCAGTGCTCTGCCTGGATCGACCGGGGCTCTGCCTGGGTTAGTTTGGAATTATGGTAGTGCTGCCGTGGTTAGTGTGACCGCAACAATAATTTCACCCCGGATTTTCTGTAACATCCCAATAACTTATTGCGGTGGTCCTGGGCTCTCCTGGGAGACCGCAGCTTATACCGCACTGGTGAGGAGTTAATTAAGAGCTTCTTCCCCCTCATACAAGAAAGGTCAAATTAAGAAGTTGTACTGTTACAATGTCTTATCAAAAGACAATGATTAAATATTTAACAATATTGACTTAAAACATTATAATACATTAATATATGCAGACCTGTTATATTTATTAATATCACAACTAGGGTGAGAAAAAAAATGCAGCCTGACTAAGACTCAATCCAGAAACCCTCAGAATACATGTTCCATACCTCAGCACTACCAAAAAACCCCAGAACCCTTGGAAAACCATACTGCAGGTCTACAGCTTAAACATTTTCTCTAATCTTTACATTGACATACAGTATTACCATTATATTTAAATTTGTCTTTTTTCATTGGAACACTTAAGTGACTAAGTGAATTGACCACCATAAGCTTCAAATTGGACCCTTACAGTGATTTTTTTACTAACTCATCATTGTGGGTCCTAGGACTCGCTGGGCTATAAATCTATGAGTCCTAAAATTTAGCCGACAAATCCAAGATACAGGGCTTAATATTGCTTTAGTGAAACGAAAGGTATATTAACAATGGAATGAAGAAAAAATGAATTTGATTTCTACATCAACAAGATATGTTTGTAAAACATGTATGCCCCCTATCAGCAACCAATTAGTCATGTGATCAGGTTATTATGCATGACTTCTGACCCAGTGATCAAACAATTAATAAGGGTTATCAAGTATCTACTGGTCATGACCTTAACCTTTGACCCCTTGACCCAAAACTCAATAGGGGTCATCTGCTGGTCACGACCAATCATCATACAAAGTTTGAAATTCCTAGGCCTAAGCGTTTTTAGTTAATTGATCGGCAACCGTTTTTACCTACAAGGTCAATGTGACCTTGACCTTTGACCCCTTGACCCCAAAATCAATAGGTCATCTGCTGGTCATGACCAATCACCATACCAAGTTTGAAGTTCCTACGCCTAAGGGTTCTTTAGTTATCGATCGGAAACCGTTTTAACATACAAGGTCAATGTGACCTTGACCTTTGACCCCAAAATCAATAGGGGTCATCTGCTGGTCATGACCAATCACCATGCCAAGTTTGAAGTTCCTAGGCCTAAGCGTTCTTAAGTTATTGATCGGAAACCGTTTTTGCTTACAAGGTCAATGTGACCTTGTCCTTTGACCCCTTGACCCCAAAATCAATAGGGGTCATCTACTGATCATGACTAATCACCATACCAAGTTTAAAGTTCCTAGGCCTTAAGGTTCTTTAGTTATTGATCGGAAACCGTTTTTGTGACCTTGACCTTTGACCCCTTAACCCCAAAATCAATAGGGGTCATCTGCTGGGCATAACCAATCACCATACCAAGTTTGAAGTTCCTAGGCCTAAGGGTTCTTTTGTTATTGATCAGAAACCGTTTTTACCCAAGAGGTCAATATGACCTTGACCTTTGACCCCTTGACCCTAAAATCAATAGGGGTCATTTACTGATCATGACCAATCACCATACCAAGTTTGAAGTTCCTAGGCCTTAAAGTTCTTTAGTTATTGATCGGACACCGTTTTTGCTTACAAGGTCAATGTGACCTTGACCTTTGACCCCTTGACCCCAAAATCAATAGGGGTCATCTACTGATCATGACCAATCACCATACCAAGTTTGAAGTTCCTAGGCCTTAAAGTTCTTTAGTTATTGATCGGACACCGTTTTTGCTTACAAGGTCAATGTGACCTTGACCTTTGACCCCTTGACCCCAAAATCAATAGGGGTCATCTACTGATCATGACCAATCACCATTCCAAGTTTGAAGTTCCTAGGCCTTAAGGTTCTTTAGTTATTGATCGGAAACCGTTTTTGCTTACATATGTTCATGTATATATAGAAAACAACTGTTGATGCTGCCCATGGCTAAATGATTCAAAAATATAAACTGAATTAACCATTCGTGGGACTTTAAATCAGAAAAAACTCAAAGATGAATGAGAAAATATATTTATTTAAATTTATTATTTTAAATTTTAACATAACTTGGTAAATTTCAAAACATCAACAAAAAATATGTTAAGAGAGAACTGTTTAAAAAGATATTTTAATTCCAGTGTAATTATTAATTTTAATGACTTTGATTTGTTAAAAAATCTGAGTTTTGTTAGTTAAATATATTTCATAACAGTCACAACTTTCTGGAAACATATTTTGGTGTATGATAATAGAGTAAAACACATTATTTGGCACTTTTATCATTATTCTAAGAGAAAATATATAGATAAAGATTGTAAGAGTGAGATATAGCATGAATCCAGGGATCTTTGATATACAGTAGTTGCCTAGTTTGCCTCAGTTTCAGATGCAACCCTGGTCCTAGCAAGTTGGTCCCATCTGTAAGTTTGTTGACAAATTTTATCAAGGTGGAGATGCTATCTCATGATCCTTGGATCACAATTATCAAGATGTTACAACTCAACAACAGATCACCTCCCTATTTGATAAGATTTCCATTTACTTAATTTGCATTTATTCATAATGATAACAAAACTTTTCTTGAAGGTTTTAAATACATAGTATTTGTATTTAATTGGTAGGATTATGTCATGGTTCATAACAGTTTACTGTTAAGGGAAGAAAATGTGTAAGTGGCCATATAGCTCAGTCAGTCAAGTTATGGTATGGTACTTTGAGGGTCCCGGGTTCAAATCCCGGTCAGGCTGCAAATTTTTTCTCAACCGGTTACAATTGGCGCCCAACTTGTGGCCTTGACTGCATATAGCTAAGAGTTAATTCACATAGCTCTGTATTACCGACAAACTTCAATGTAGCGGAGAAGTAATTATAATGGTTCAGAACTGTATACTATTTAGAGGAGTGATGTGTAAGCAGCTTAATAGCTCAGACAGTAGAGCTGTAGTAAGGTATTCTGAGTGTCCCGGGTTTGAGTCCTGTTCAGGCTGCACATTTTCTCACCGTGTTACAAAATTACCAATTGGTAGGACTTTAATTAAGAATCTTTTGATAATCCTAAATTATAATAATATATATAATCAAACTGGACTAAAATTATTAAGTTTTTATTATTTAAGCATCATGCAGCATTAAACATTTTTAATTTTGTTGCATGTAATTCTACAAATTGATTAACTTGTATGAGTGATATTGGTGAAGTGACAATGAAAAAGACTATTAGTTTCTTTACTTGACATAGGGTTTGTAAGCGAACAGCATGGATCCTGATCAGACTGCACGGATGCGCAGGCTGGTCTTGATCCATGCTGGTCACAAAGCCATCATGTTGGTTTTGTCGTGACGCGGCTCAATTCTCTGTAACTCTGTGAAATTGGAGGATGAATTTCAATATAGCAGGGGAGTATGTCATGGTTCAGAACTGTTCACTATTGAATGGAGATGATGTGTAAGCGGCTGGATAGC